GTTATCGTCGAAGATTATTTTTAATTTGGTAAAAAAGTTATTATCAGAGATAATAATAGTTTAAATTTATTAGAAAAAACAACATTGAGTAGAGGTAATACAAGACAATTTAACCTTTTTAGACAAAATACTTTAAATTTTGAATATAAAAAGCTTATGTCGATGTTTGTTTTACTACTCGTTTAAAAATATTTCTCAGGAATTTTTTTTAAATGATTAAAATAACATAAGCTTTTTGTATTCATAATTTAAAATATTTTGTCTAAAAAAGAATTTCCTCTACAAGCACGTTTTAAAACTAATCGTTAAATACAGGAATGGCTCCCTATTTTGATTGGACGAAAAAAGATTGTTTTTCTTAGTCCGGAAAACAATTTTTTCTCGTTGCCGTATTTAAAAAATGTTTATGCCTTTGTATGGATAAACATATATACATCCATCTAGTCGGAATCACGTGACTTATTGCGCAACAAAAGTAACGATATTTAATGTAGGGAAAACAAATCATTACACCTTAACGCAAAGATAAGAAAGCGCTCGTAATAATGTCGTTCAATTATTTTGAAAATTTATCAAAAGAAGCAGCAGAAAGATATCAGCGAAAATTAAGTCTTTTAGGTGATTATTTTTCATGTTAATTTACTTTTTTAAATAATTTTCGTCAGAATAAACGAAAATAATGCATAGCATTTTGATCGTTTTAGGATTGGACAAGTGTCCATATAAGTATCCGGCTGATTCTTGGACTGAAGATCCAAGTCAATGGCCTTCTTTAAGTTATCATAATCTATATCAATACCTGATTAAGACTCCATGTAAGAAATATTTCTAAATAGTTGTTTATAAGTTCTTATATATTTTTTAAGTTATTATATATTTAATTCCTAAATCCTAAAATTATGTTAGTTTGCTTAGTGAATATTAATGTTTGCTTACACTTATTTTAAACATTCAACACTATGTAGGCATCTATTCTCCAGAAGCTATGGAAAACTACAAGTCATTGGAGGCTTGGAAGTTCTTTCAAGAAGGTTGGGTGCAAACTGTTATCCATATGAAGATAAGTCAAGATATCATGATCTTAAAATGTGATGTTAGACCTTCTTACAGAACCACATCCCCTAATCATAAGCCTTGGATTGCTCTTGGTTCACTTGGTAATGTAGTGACTGCTCACTGTAATTGTATGGCCGGGTAAGTGTATGGAGAGCACTTGACTATAATAATTTAATACTAAAAGTTATCTTGTTTTATGAACTACTAAATTTTGTTTACATTATTTAAATCTGTTGAAATTATTTAAAGGTGTTTTTGGATTATTTAAATCTATGGTTTATTGTTTTTAACAGTCTTGGTGAAACATGCTCACATGTAGCTGCAACATTATATAAAGTTGAAGCTGCTGTTCGCATTGGAATGACATCATCCACACCAACTGATTTACCATGTCAATGGAATCAAACATTTGTAAAAAATATTGTTGGTTCCCCAGTTTCTCAAATAAATTTAGATTCTGATGCTGCTAAAGAGAAACTTACAGGAAAAAGAACTAGGAAAATGCCTGTTTCTCCAACAAATATTGAAAAATATCAGTTTTTGTCAGAATTGAAAAGTGTACAGCCCAAAACAGCTGCTCTCAGTTTGTTTAAAGATTTTGATACTGAATTTATACACTTAGAATCTACTGTTGTAGCAAAATTGCCTTTATCTCTCAGAAATTTTTTCAATGCAAACTATAAATCTCTAAATAATGAACAGTTAAATTCTTTTTTTGATGAGAAAATAAAAGATCTAAAATTAAATTCTGATGACATTGTCTATGTTGAAGAAGCAACTCGAAATCAATCTTTGTGTGATTCTTGGTATCAGGTACGAGTCGGACGAATAACTGGTTCTACTTTGTATCAATTTTTCCATGCTAAAGTTGAGACACCACCTAAATCTTTAATTTTAAATATTTGTTCAGAAAAGAATATAACAATAAAAAGTCCTCCAATAGTGTGGGGAAGAGAAAATGAGAAAAATGCATTGACTTTATATACACAACTTTATTCAGACTGTAATGAAGCTCATAACTTATTGGCACTTTCAGACATTGTCATCCATCAAAATTTAAAAGTTGAAAAATTAGGGCTTTGCATCGACTATGAAAAACCATGGTATGCAGCATCTCCTGATGCTTCTGTGTATTGCACTTGTTGTGGACATGGAGTTTTAGAAATCAAATGCCCTTTTAGTTTAAAAGACAAATCTTTGAAAGAAGAAATACTGAAATACTGAAAGATGTTTTTTAAGTAGGATTAAATACGGATGGGAAATATTTTTTATAAAAACAGCACACATATTTTTTCCAGGTTCAGCTTGAAATGAGAGTTACTGGAGTGAGCTATTGTGATTTTATGGTATGGACACCCAGTGAGTTTATAGTTTTACGTATTGAACCTGACATTAGTTTTATGAAATCGGTGTTTAATAAATGTGATGTTTTTTGGAATAGATTTATTTTGATGGAATTAGTAACAAGAGAAGTTGAATCAGGAATGAAATTGCCCTCCTCTACATTAACAGTAACCATAAATAATGATGATAATGTTTTTTGTAATTGCAAATCTAAAAGCTCAAAAAATGATGATACAATGGTCGGCTGTGATTCATGTGATAATTGGTTTCATCTTAAATGTATATCTTTGAAATCTGTGCCCAAATCGTCTGTATGGTATTGCAATAGCTGTAAAAACAAGAAAAAGTCTGCACACAAAAACGTAATTATTTTTTATAATTTTAGCAGCAAAAAGTTTTTTTTTTAATAATACATTTTTTTATTATTATCTTCTTAGAAACCAATACATTAATGGAGCAGTATTAATGCTATTCTCCTTATCATTTTCATGATATTTGTTGTTAACATTATTATGCTGAGAAATGGAATGGAAAAATCATAATTTGAGGTGAAATAAAGAATATCCCATTTTTAAAAAACGGCTATTTTCATAGCCACATATTATTAAAAACATTAAAGCATATGATATAATATTGAAAAAACTGTTACAGATTAACAGATAATCAAACTCTTCCTATTCCCCGAAATCTCGGTGAATAGGAAGAGTTTGATTACCTGGTCTAAATAAAAAAGAAGTAAGGCGGTATTTTTCCTTAAGTTAATCGATTCCTTTTTTGGAAAAAAATATTTTACGTTATTCCTCGGGGGAAAACATTTTGTCGTATTTTATGTTATAATATTGTTTTAAACCCAGGGGTAATCTTTTTCCGGATATTTTTCTAAATTTTATGCTTTTCCGGATATCCAAACTGTCTGACCTACATATTATTTGTTTGTATTTTTGTAATTTATATATACTTTATTTGGTTTTTCATTCATACAAAAATATAAAAAAGAAATAGGAAAGTAAGAGTAAATATATAACGGATTTTTTCCGAATATTCAACTGTTTATACACAACTGTTTACCGGATTTTTAAAATATGATTTGGATAATCACTGTAAACTATCGTTGTTCAATGACGGCTCATGTATGCAAGATTAGTAATGAAGGAAGCGTGAAATAAATACTGTTACGCGGTGCTCTATAAAAAGACCCTTAGCACTTCTTGGAGCACCTAAATAAACAAAATCTTATTTATCAATGTTATACAAAAAGTCTAATGCGTAAATTGAACTCTCAAAATACTAATGATAACAATGTTTCTATTGAATAGATTCCAACGATATTTTTTACGCAAATTTACTCAAAATCGAATTTAGGAAATAAAATTTTTGTAACAAATTATTTTACTAAAAAATCGTATTAACAAGTTATTACATTTTTGACAAAGCGGTATCGAAATGTATTTTCATATTTAATTCAGACGCCGGTCGATATTTTGTTCATTTATATTTTATGTTGTAACGACATAAAGTTGTGGCTCGTTTTTTTCAAACCTAATAAATATTCTAATCCGTATTTCGCACATTTATTAGGTTTATAAATGTTCTATTAAACTTATTCAACACGCCTAAATAACTTTAAAGAATGGACTAGTTTTCATGATCATTTTCCGTATCGTATTGTATTCCATACCATATACGTTTCGTATTGAATAGTGAAAATCCTTATTTACAGGGCTGTTAACAGCAAAAGTAGATCCCAAATGTATTTGCGGTCTGAAAATATGTACCATGTAATGCAGAAAGGCTTCTTCTTTTTCCGGGGCACCAGGGACGATATACATAGATAATCCAGGTAATATTTAAAAAAAAAAAAAGGAAAATTCTTTGCGTAAAATATCCGGAAAAAATGCGGAATATTTTTTCTCTTATTTTCCTCATAATTTGCTTTCAGCTGAATTGTATCTTAATTTTTTTGAAATTTTCTTTTTTGAACGAGTGATGACTAAAAAGCCCCTAAAAATCAAATATATTATCTAAACATATATATAAACTTGTATGTAAAGAAAACCTTTTGGATATCCAAAAAAACTAAATAAAATATCCGGAAAAAGATAATCCCTGATGATACATTGATCATCCGGGTCATATTTTAAAAATTAGGTAAGATATCCGGTATAATCCGGATTATATTTTCCACTTTATTTTGCTATTACCTGAGTTGATTTCCACTTTAATTTTAGTGTGACATACAAAAATTATCAACTTTAAGTTTTCCCAGATATCCTAAAATTTTCCAAAAATTAAAGCTGAGGTATATATTTTGGAAATATATTTATTTTTATGCTTTTTCACTTATCGCTAATACAGTATAAGCAATAAGTGAAAAAGCTTGAAAATTAATATATTTCCAAAAGATTTACCTCAACTTTAATTTCTGGAAAATTATAGGATATCTGGGGAAACTTAAAGTTAATAATAATATCCGAAATTCCAAAATTTCCGGAAAAAGAAAATCCATGATTACAACTCTTGTACCACCTCTTGACGTCTTTTTTGTCAAACAACGCCTTTATTAAGATATGTGGCTATGAAAATAGCCGTTTTGAGAAAATTTAAACGATTCCTTCACCAAGGTTTGTTAAAGCAGCACAAACTGTTACAATTTTGTCACAATTAGAAAGAGTAACTGAGGTAGCTTCATCAGTAATGTTTTTAACAGTTCGTAAAGGCAATACACCTTGAAGAATGGTGTAACGATTTTTCAACAGCCCAATAACTCTTTCTATGTGAATTCTAACAGATGATATTTTGCGAGATTTTTCTACCTCAGAAGCAGAAAGTTGTGCTTTATCTTTTGTAAAAGCTGCATTTATTAATATAGAGCAACTTCCAGCTGCAAAATCGTCTTGTAAAGTAAAACCTCTATCTGATAAGATTTGATCGCCTGGCATTTGGTACTTGCTAGATGCAAATTCTGATTCCCGAGTTATTTGATTGTCAGAAGCTCTTCCACCATAGCATTTGGAAATAAAGTTAATCGTTCCATTAGGTGTGCATGAAATGAGACATTTTATTGTACAATGTTTTTTATATTGGCTGTAAAATAATGCTCTTGCCATTAGAGATGATGGTGATTCCACAAAAACCTCAAAACAATCAATAATTGATGTTAGTCTTGGGAATTTGTTTTTGAAAACAGGAGGAATTGTTTCGTATATATGATCTCGATCTTGCATTTTTATTAAATATTTTAATTTCACATACATAATATCAATCCATTTCCAAAAGTTATCCAAGGCAGTAGTTTTTTTAATATCAAACATAAATGATAACATATCAAAGTTAATGTTGTGCCTTAATTTAACTAAACAGAAAACAATTTTATCTTCTGTATTAAATCTTTATAATGAACTTTCTGGAGTTCCTTTGCAAAGGAAACTCAGCAGTTTTTCTAATACAGGAAGATTAAGTCCAGTGAGCATATTGCACTTATCAGGATTGGCTCGAATTTTATTTATTCCTAAACTGCAATTGCTATCTTTTAATGATATCCACTTCGACATAAATAAATCTCTTTCTAATCGAAGATTATTTATTTCACTATATAGTTGTTGTCTTTCTGATGTTTTAAGAGGTATTTCAATATCAATTTCAGATTTTTCAGTATAACTTATTTCTGACTTTAAAGAACTATTGGTTGAACTTTGCTAAACATTGATGTTTACAGGAGCACTCTTTCCTTTAAATAAGAAAAAAAAACAATTGATATTTTAAATTTGCATATGATGTTTAAATAACTTTTAAATTAATACCTTGTATATAACTCTTACTGGAATCTTGAACATAAACATCTTCATTAATTATAGGATCACTAAATTATGAAATATATTATTAAATTATTTTTCAACTTCTACAAAATAAAGATAATATACAAAAAATAAACAAAATTACAAAAACAAAAAATACAAATAGAAGTTAAGTTAGAAGTAATTGAAGACCTTAGTGCTAAAAAAAACTTAATTCGCACAAATGTTTATAGAGAAAACATATTTTAAACTTATATTTGTATAGCCATTTTATTTTTATAATTAAATTTATGATGGTCAACGTTCTAAAATAGCTCTAGTAAGTATAGAATTATTAATTTCTGAAAAATTGTTAAAAAGAAAAATCTTAAACTATGCAAAAATGTAAAAAACTAAAATAAAAAATTAATCAATACCATGACTGGAAGATTGTTCTAAAAAATTTTTGGAGCATATAGGATTACTGATATCAGATTGCTGCAAATAATCTTCAGTACTAACTTGGATATCGATTTCTGTTGAGTATGAAATACATTTATTTTATAAAAAATTACTGGAGCGGTTTCATAACTTTTACAATATCTACATGATCATTATTAATTATAGCAAAAATTATACAAATTTAAATTGTAAATACCTAAATTTAATAATTATTTTTTCAAACTTACCTTCGTTACTAAAACTCCTTTTTTCAATGACAAAATCAACATCCTCACTAATTGATTGAGCACATAGTTTTAATTTTTTGCATGCAGGAACACTTATTTCTAAAAAAAAAATTTAAAATTAAACAACATCAAAGTAATTATTTACAAATGAATTGAAGCAAACAATATTATTTACTTTGTCTATTTATCCTCCTACTGACTCGGTTAATTTTGTTATTGTTGGTATTTCTTTGAGGAGAGCCTTTCATTCCAGTTTCAAAAATTGATGGAACTGAATCTGGATGTTTCTCAAAGAGCTCTCTTTTACCTGAAATTTTTGAACAAGTAGTATTTGTTGTAATTCATTTAGTATATAAAATCAAATCTTAATAAAAGTTGTTTACCAGTAATAAAGTGTGCTGAACAAACATAAACATTTGAAGACGTAGGAGACCACTGTTTTGACGAAGTGCTATCTGCAGCACGATTAATTGCATTTAACCATTTTCTTCTGACCGCTTCATTCTTAGGAATACGATAAAATTTAAGTTCATTGTTTTTTTTACAATTGTTTGTGCAACCTACAACACAACAACTCCTTGGCATCTTTTTGTCATAAAAAAAGTTTAAAACGCTGTTGATATTTATATGTTTGTTTTCCCTCCATTCAAGATGGTTAATTTATTTCGCAATTCGGCGTGACGTCATGCCAACTAGATGGATATATATAATATATGTACAATATATATGGGATAGAGCACGCTACTAGTTTCTAGTTTCTAATACGCAATAACGATGGTGAGTTTTAGTACAGTTTTATTACATTAAATATAATGCATTTTTTCTTCTTCTAAAAGACAGAACTTTTATTTAGGCATCTGCTAGCTTGTCTTCAAACAAGTTAAAGCTTAATCACCTTACGATCAACAATTATAATCGACAATTTGCTTACGAGTCACAGAAACAGTTTATTAAATCTGTTCAAGATTATTCTATCAAAACAAGCCAGTCTCCTGTTGATATAACTAATGATGTATTTTCTCTTAAAAGTTTACTACCTAAACATCAGTTAATGAAATGGTCCACTGAACTATCTATGCGTAATAATATTGCGAGTGGAATCCATTATATAGAATGCAATCTAGGAAAGTTCATGTATGAAAGTGTTCAGCTTCTAATAGCTCTTCATAGGGTTCAAGAAATGAAGCTAGCAGTTGATCAAGAGTTAACATGGTTTAATTCTCCCAAGTTAGTACCAAAATCAATCAGTATTTTTCCTTCTCAAAATTTAATTGAAAAATTCAAAGAAGTGCTTTTTAAAAGGCCAGCTAACAATGAAATATCAGAATATGGGATGAGCCCTAACACTTTAGCTGAGTTATGTTGTGCTAGATGGCTTTCATCAGATCATATGCTGCAAATTTCTAGCATTTTAAACTTGATCCAAAGGTAATTTATTTTAACTTTTTAGGAAATATTGAGCATTATGTATCAAGAATAACTGTTGTCCCTGAAAAGCTGATCTTTATTATAAATGTTGGAGGAAATAACGAGAAAACATTTTCTGGTACAGATTTAAATGCAGGTTGCCACTGGACACTTGCAGTTTATGATAGTATTGAAGGTAATTTTTACTATGGAGATTCTTTAGGATGGTCAGCTCCAGATGATTTTTTAACTAAAGTTAAATTAATAAAGTTAAGTTATTGCTCAAAAAAATTTTAAACTTAGTCTTTTAGTATTATATACAACAAATTAAAGGGGTAAGATCAGGTTTTTTTAAAAAGTGTTGTTTTAAGAGTCACCCTACTGGGTAGGGAGTCATAGGAGTCATAGATAGCTTCCATAATTGAGTTAGGAGTCATTAAAATTCACAGTGTTTTAGCATTCATAATGTTTTTGCTAAACAAGTTTAGCAGATTTTTTAGAGTGAAGCACTTGCATCAATTTTGCAGCAGTGAAAGATTTTATACAGCCATGTGTATTCTAAATATTTTTGAGAAACGTAAGTGTTACTTAAAAGATTTATTTTACATTTACATTTGAAAAAGTATTATTACAACTTTATTTGATAATATTTTGCTTCAAATATGATTTTAGAGAAGAAATAATTGAAAGTGAATAGAATTAACCAAGCATATATATATGATAAATCATTTAAGTAGGTATTACAACAAAAATTCTTGTTTAAACAAGAAAACAGTTAAAGACAAGTTAGTTTAACAGAAGTTAGTTTAACAAAGAATTAAATTACAGAAAAAAATAGTGTTTTATAAAAGTAGTATGTTGTAGACCTAGATTTGTTGTGTTTTGGTCTTTTGGTTGTAACATTTTTCAACATTTTCGGGCAGCAACATGATCAACAGTTTGTATTTAAACCTTTAATCAAGTTAAATTGATATTTATGCAGTTTCGTTATTAACATTCCAAAAAGTATATATTAACAGCAGTAATAGTTTTTAATACTTAGATGTTTAACTTGTCAACGTTTAATTGTTATCTTTCATTATATGCAACAACCGTCTGGTTAAAGACCATTAATGTCATTGAGCCATCATTTGAGATCGATAAAACAATTTGATTTTTAAACTATTTATTTTTGGTTTTTACAATAGTGAATATGTTTGTAATTATAGTATAGTTTATATGTTTATATATAGTATAGTATTATATATAGTTACAATATAATAGTATTAGTGAATAATATATTTGTTATTAATATAATCACATTAGTGATTAATATATTTCCTGAATATATTAATATATAGAACCTGATGCCTGAATTTTTAAATTTTGTTTAGTGTATAAAGATTAAAAATAAAAGGTATGCAAATGTTTTTAAAAATATTGTTTTTCGAATGAAGTTGAAGATTTAACATTATTACTTCAATTATTAATTTAACACACATAAGTAGCTTACCGAACAAGGGGTCTAAAAAATAAGGTGTTTTTTTTTCTGATGAAAGAATATTTTGATTCAATATTTGCTGTTTTTAGATTTTGATATATTTCAAAAAGAATTAGGTAATTGAAATGAATGTTTGTTTTAAAATATTTTGTTTGACATTATTTTAATATAAATGTTATATTTTCCAAAAAAATGTGTTTTAAAGTGAAAAGAATTGAATTTTCCATTTTTATATGATACTTTTTCTTTAGATTTGGATTTGATAAAGAAAGAAGTCGGTAATAAAAAAAATAACTTTCTTTAAAAAGTTTCTTTATGGCATTTATAATTTTTTTAAATTTTTTTTCTGATCCATTTTCATTTTTCTTTAGAAAAGAAAACTGAAACTTGGTATAAAACAAATATTTTAAAACTCAATAATGAACTTATTTTCCAAAAATGTTTTACAGTCATTATTTTATTTACTTTTTTTAGCTGGAAGAAAGAATCAAATTAAGTAATGTTATTCTTTATTGTCTTTTATGATTAATAATTTTGTTTTATGATAAGTTATGCAATTTATCAAAAGCAAAAAATTTATTTGTCCATTAACTGAAAATTCATAATAAATATATTTTATTTCTCTCAATAGTGGCAGCAAAAAAGGAATTAGGTATTTATTCATTTTTTTTGTCTTCGAAATTATCTAAATTATAATTTGTTCAATAAATGTAATGTCTTATTTAAATATTCTTAATTACGTACAAAAATTTCTATTCTGCTTACATATTTTCTAGACGGTCTTAACGCTTACTTTTCACCACTTCTGAACAAAACAACTTTGTCAGACATAATGCAGCAAACGGCATGGTAAAAAAAAATATTATTTTGGTGTGTGTATTTAGCACATATAGATGTCATTATATGTTGAGTTTCATAGTTTTTACTTGAAGTTTTGCAAGGTTTTTTTTTGTCGTAACGAAAAATCCAATGCTTAAAAACAAGAAATATAACGACACAATCAATAATGTAAAAAAATTATAAATAATTATTAACAACCATATAAAATATGTTTAAAAAAGTGCAATAAATCATTTTCAATAAAAGTTTTCAATTATGGATATACGGTAAAATGCAATAAAAGTTTTCAAATATGGATATACGGTAAGATTTTTAACACTACCCAACAGGACGGTAAATAATCGTCAAAACACCTTTGTACGACCCTTGGAACTTTAAAACCATACTATGGTATGATAAAATGATTTTTTTAAAGTTTTTGCTTAAAAGTATTTTATAATAGTTTTGGAGTTTAGCATGTGTCATAACTTTTTCGTTTTTTTTAATATATATATATATATATATATATATATATATATATATATATATATATATATATATATATATATATATATATATATATATATATATATATATATATATATATATATATATATATATATAGTATTGGACAAAACATTTGCAACCAACATGGAACAATGCTAAAAAGTGTTCCAAATTTTACGTCTTAAAAACGAAACGAACTATACTACCACATCAAACAGTTCTGGAGTCATAGCATGCCATGACATGAGCAATCAGCTGACAGGTGACAGCACACAGACAGAATTTCGTTGACAAGTGCCATTTTGCAGCAGAAAAAACAAGTGCAACTTTTTTGGTTTGTTTCATTTTCTTAAGTCTGGTTCGTGTCATTGTCACGGAAATTTTTTAATAATTAAAGGAAGTATCCATATGTTTATAGAAGCATGCAGAAGCTTCCAGAAGAAGCATCTGGAAACATCCAGAAGTATCCAGAAACATTCAGAAGCATCGAAAAAAAGCATCAAGAATCTTTGAGAACAGCTTCACACAGGTTTATTTTACTATATAGGAGACATGTAAACCGACATGTAATTCAGTCAGTATATGGAAGTCAATTAGTCAGTATTACGAAGACAGTTTATCGAAGTGAGTTTTATCAAAGTGTTTTATCGAAGAACATCAATACAAGAAGTGAAATACAACAAGTGTTTTGTTACATCAATAAAGTCCACATCCAACCAAGACGTTGTATTCCACAGAGCATTATTGTATCATCACAAGGTAAATGTAACACGGTAAGCCTTGAGAAGCGTGGTTATTTATTTTTATTTTTTTTTATGGCTTCAAGTGCAAAATTAGCTCCTGACAGTCTTGGATTGGAACTTAGAAAGAAAATTATTGGCGATTACGTAAGTGGAATGTCAAAAAAAAGTATTAGTGATAAATATCGCGTGAAAAAATGGACCGTATCCATACTGATAAGGTCCATTTTGTCTCAAATATCGTTCTACGGGGAGGTTGGCAGCAGATAAGAAAGGTGGAAGACCGCGTTCCACCACTTCTAGAGAGGATTCTATGATCGTCAGATCCGTCAAGAAGGATCCCTGGATATCATCAGTCGAGTTGCAAAAGCAAATAGAGCTGCCTGTATCGGACCGAACAATCAGACGACGTGCTGTTGAAGCCGGATTGTTTTCTCGACTCCCTGCAAAGAAACCGCTGATTTCACTAAAGAACCAGAAGAAAAGACTCCTGTTTGCTGCATCTCATATTGACTGGAATGTGCAGAAAGGGCGAACTGTCCTGTTCAGTGATGAATTGAAGTTCAACATCATTGGGAGCATTTGCCGTGTAAGTCGACCGGCCGGAAAACGCCTCGATTTACGTTAATTTTATAAAATTTTTAAAAATTAAAAAAATTATTAAAGTAAGGCGAAACTAAATTGCAAATCTTCTGCTTAAAAAAAACTCCTATGATATATTAATTTATATAAAATTCCTATTATATCCAAGGTACTTCTTTGCACGGTTGAAGAAGTTTTTCAAATTGGTATGTCTATAACATTTGCGAGCATGTAAATCACGATGTCGCATGCATTGTTCGTTTCTGCATGGTTTTTCATATGGAAATTTAGAAAATAATGAGCTAATTTTAACTTGTAACTGTGTTTTTAAAAATAAATAAAATTTGTTGTACACAATTTTTCCTTTTTTATCATTTTTCACGCAACTTTAAGAAGTTATGCAATCTAAAGCGTTGTTGAAATCAGGATTGCTGATATTTTTACTTGTTGAGCAATTAGAAAAGTTATTATCTTGAGTTGAAAAACTCACTAATATTAATTTTAATAGATTATTTATGATTTTTGAAAAATAAACTTTTCTTGGAATAATGCAAATAGTTACAAAACTAAATGTAAATTTAATTTTTCGATTAACTAATGAATATAAAGTTTAATGTAGTTTTTTGATGAGGGGTCGTCCATAAAATACGTCACGCAATTTTTGACCCTTTTTAACCCTCTCTCCCCTCCCCACCTCCTCACCTTTGTCACAAGAAGCAAGTTGTAACAAAAGCACCAAGCCCCTCCCCCTTGAGTATAGCCAGTTTTGATTTTTTTTTTGTAATGAAATGATTTTGAGTCATTACGTTACGCTATGACCCAAATATACTTGGGTCATTACGTTACGCTATGACCCCCTTACTTATACTTTGTTTCAAACCGAATTTAAATGTATTTCAATCATCTGTTCTTACCGCTCTTTTATTTAATTTCTGCACAATCTTACTTACTAAAGTGCAAATAGATATTTATTAGGTAAATTCTATATGCAAAACGGTTTACGCTATGACCCAAAGTATATTTGGGTCATAGCGTAACGTAATGACCCAAAATCATTTCATTACAAAAAAAAAATCAAACTGGCTATACTCAAGGTTAACAATTTTGATATCAACTTTTTCTGTAATTGATGGAAGTTGAAAATGCGCTTTTTAATTTTTTCTTTCTTGCAATTGGTGAATATTAAAAAAGCAACAAGAATTTAATTTTTGTTAGCATTTTAACATATAAATAAATTTGCAGAAAAAATAAATTCATTTAGGTAACAAACACTTGCATGCACACACCATGCAATTTTTGACATTTATAGCAATCGCTTCTGACTCGCTGGTAACCATTTTAATTTACCTTAATTTTATTGTTTTTTTACAGTATAATATTAGTTTTGAAAACTCAGACAAAAGAAAATTTCTAATTTTGGCAACTCTAAACTTCAAAGCCCACTTTATGGACTTACAGTATTAGATTACTTAGTGTTACATTTTATTAAAAAAATAACACTTTTTTGAAATAAGCTAAACTTGATATATATTGCATCGACAAATTAACTTTTTATTGACAAAAATTAATGAAAAAGAACACATCAAGTTGTATGCACTACACCTTTTTTATAGAAGTAATCGTTTAGACAGTTTAATAAGATTTTTTTTTGCTAAAAGTCTTTTCACCAAACAGTTTTTTTCATCAAGATTTACTAAGTCATGACTCTAATAAGGTAATCACAAGCATTACTCTGATTGATGTGACGTGCAGCAAATCTTCATCATCCGCATCTTAGACTTCGTGTATAACTGTTTTTAGTGAATTATATAGATTTAACTACCATTTACTTTTGAATTTTACTTCTAAAAGATAACCATATAAAGAATACATAAAAATTGACAACACCTTTGCAAAATTTTATACAAGCTTAACACAAACACTCAAGTCTATAAAAAAAAATTAAAATAGATGTTTGCTCTATTGTTATAAATACTCTCGAGTCCTAGATAAAAAAAAGGTTTATTAATTTTTGGGAAATTTTCCCACCCACCCTTAGCCTAATAAGACACACACACACACACACCCTCAAATTCTAACCCACTCTTTTATTACCTATTTATTTATACCTTTAATTTGCCTCTTTTGTATTAAGAAAACGAAAGTAGTTTTTTTTTTTTTTTTTTTTTTTTTTTATAAGTTGATTAAGGTGCCCCAAGAAGTCCTTACGGTCTTATCACAGAGCACCGCGGAAGAGCATTTAATAGGAAGTTCACGCCTCCTTCCCAACCGATGTCGCAAAACTTGCCCAGAGGTGGGGTTTGAACCACGGATCTTACGTTTCTGAGGCAAGTGCGCTATAAAGTTATAAATTTAAAAATTTGAATAATAGATAGTGAAAGATTTTTAATTTAGTATAACAATAACATCAAACCTAATTAACATATTGTTTAACATGATCACAATCAATAACATGAGAGAGTTTAGAATGTAAAAGTATTGGCTTAGTAGTAGCGTGTAAGAAATTGTGTGTTGCTTTGTTATTGAAAATGTATAATAATACATGATAATTATTGCAAATGTATAATAATACATTTACAATAAATATTCTGAGTGTTACACACAGGTTAATTATTAAATGTAATAATGTAATAGGTAAATATAATAGGTAAGTGTATAATACACAGGGTAACTATTGTAAATGTATTACAATACATTTACATGAACAAAACATATTATTACACAATCAATGTGTGAATAAAACACACTGTATTTTATGAATTTAAGAAAATAAAAATTAATTAATAAAAATAAATAACATTTTTATTTACACATTGAATGTATAACAAAAAATAATATAATTTTATGTTTTACTCTCTGTACATGTTTTACTTAACACTCTCAGTATATGTTTTACTTAAGAATAATATACAAAATAAATTAACAAAGTTAGTAAACTATAATACTATAGACAAATTAAAAACAATAGCGGTAAATAAGATTTATGTAAATAAAACCTACAATCAAAGACTTACAGGAATGGCTCCCTAATTTGATTGGTCAAAATAAACGAGAAAAAGTGTTTTTCGGACTTCGTGAAACAAAATTTTTTCATCCAATCAAAATTGGTAGCCATTCCTGTATTTAACGGCTCCTATTGTTTTATAAATGTATCTAAATATGATTATATAAATATGATTATATAAGGTTATATATATATATATATATATATATATATATATATATATATATATATATATATATATATATATATATATATATATATATATATATATATATATATATATAAATTTTCATTAAACTGTATTTTTTTATTAAAACATTTTAAAAATTACATTTTTATACTTCAATCTACATCTTTTTTAAAAACATCTTCAGACGTTTTTAAAAAGGTAAGTGCAGATGTCTTAAAAAAGTTAGGTACATCATCAGAGCATAGGCGCATTGTCAGATCTGATGATGCACCTAGGCTCTGATGATGCACCTAAGCTCTTGTTTAAGAACCATTTTTTTAAGTATGATTTATTGTTAAATTGTTAATTATATTTATTGTTTATTATCAAAATTTTTATGTAGTAGCTAGATAGAACAAATATTTAACACTAAATTTTTCCAAAAAATAATTTTTATTCATTATATTTGTAAAAAACACTATTTAAATTTTTTCATAGTCAAAAAAATATATAATGTGTAGCCTACAACTAACTTTACTTAATTTTAAAAAGATAAAAAAAATTTATAAGTTTTAAAAAGTTTAAAACTTCTATGGATAGAGTGGAAGCATTAACTATTTCATCCAAAGTTTTCAATTAAAATACCATTAATTAATATACCATATTTAACAGGACTTTAACTTCCCAATTTACCAACTTGAGATAAATAGTGCAAGTACCATTTTGTTGACTGAATCTAAAAAAGGTTCTAACTTGCCGACTGAAGGTACAAGAAATTCAATTTTACCAAATGATGCTATAAAAATTTATTGGATAAGGCTTTAACTTTTGGTATATGAATTAAGATTAAACAACCTCCTCTATTTACCTCAAGCCATTGTTTTAATCCTCGTGTTGTATTAAAATATCTAAGAAGTTTATCAAAAATTTTTTTTTTTTTTAATCAATCATAATATATACAAAAAAACTCCCGCTAAATCCTAGTTGACAATAAATAAGTTCAGTTACCTTAGTCGGCAATTCAAAATGAATTTCATTTAAAAATGATATTTTATACATTATTTTTAGACTTTAGTTTTCGCTATCAATAATAAGAAATGGTTTAAAACCGTTTTGCATATAGAATTTACCTAATAAATATCTATTTGCACTTTAGTAAGTAAGATTGTGCAGAAATTAAATAAAAGAGCGGTAAGAACAGATACTTGAAATACATTTAAATTCGGTTTGAAACAAAGTATAATCAGTAGGGTGTGTCGATTTGATGACTAAAACCCAAAGTTTTTTAAAAAAGAAACTTTATAGTGAAATTATGGTATAATTTCATAAATGAAATGGAGTAATACTTTTAAAAATTAATTAAATTAGGCGGTAGCTACATTTTTTTGGGTTTTTATGTATTTAATTTGCTAATATTTTCAAAATCGTTAAAACAATGACGTATTTCGTTTAAAACGTTTTTTATTTTTAAAAATTTAACTTTAAGCGGAAGAAATTTATATCGGACCTATTAGGAGATATTTTCAAAACTTATACGTTTAGCTTAATAAAAATAAAATTACTTGGGTTATTGAAAAATTATATTTTAATAAAAATAATGGCATCAAAAATCACAAGAAATTTATCAGCTACTCACTTAAGTAGATCTGTTGGAAAAGAAAAACCCCTTTTACCATCTGAGCTACCAACTGCGAGGGACATTTTAAGATATGGATTATTTTTAAGAGACACCAGTGACCTTAATAAAAGAAACTGTCGATAAACTAGTTAACGATATTACTCTTGCTTTATATGTTCAATGGAAAAAAGCTAATTGCAAGTTTTTACATCCAATAATAACAAAAGAATGTAGTAATAAAGCTAAATTGAAGTATTTGTGGGAAATTGCAGTTAAAGTTAGCCTTGGAATCTAAGGCTAACTTTAACTGCAGTTTCCCACAATTCAGTTTAGCTTTAATACTACATTCTTTTGTAGTATTGTAGTATTATTTGTAAGTTTGTCAATTTTTGGAAAAAAACTATCCAAGTTAAATTTTATTCCAAAAATTGACGAACATGTTGA